ATTCATCGGAAAACGACATTTGAATGGAAAAATGATTGAAGCCGAGCTTGAAAGATTTTTTTTTTTTCATTTCTTAGGTTTTAGCGAAATTGGAGTCTTTACTTTTCATTTTTTTCACAATATCTCTGTACCTGTTTTTTAACTGTCGTATCGTGAGTTCATTTTTTCTACTTTCCAGTATATGTTCGTCAAAAATTGCTTCTTTTCTAGTTTTTTTAGTATTTTTTACGTCTGTTGTTCGAAACGCATTCAGCTTTCAAAGGAGCAACTTGCGCTCGAATTTTGGCTTTTTTTCGATTGGATTGGTACTTAGCGACCGAAAATGCTTATTTTTAAATCTAGACAAAAGTTAGCATCTGCTCTATAACCCATCTATAAAAGGCAGAAATATTGGGAAGTATTCCAAAGGCGGCAAATGCCAACAGCAACCACTCGCTGGTAAACCTGCCAATAATTCCTTCTTTCGAGAGTTGCTTGTGATTTCTGATTCAGAATCTGTGAAATTTGACATTAGTTTCCTATTTTTTTTTCACACAAATTAACGCTTTCCATGTGATTCCTTTAAAAACTCTTTACTAAACTTTGTACCGATTTAACCAGTAGTCAAATTTTTTTTTCCTTGCTAGCTAATGTATCTTTTCTAAAAAAACGAGTCGGATTGGTGAGGATTAGCGGATTTGCAGAAGTCACCATGGGCATAAGTTAATCGCGAGATAAAGAATAAGGACTAGTGTTGACATTTGCAAATTTGCGCCCCCATCCTACGGCATGCACTTATCCTCATCAATCATAGCTCGGTACTTCACCTCATCTGCTTCGAGCATCTTGCTTGGAGAATTTTGGACATTGTCCGTCCAAACACAATGTCCAAAATCCTCCAAGCAGGTTCTAGGTTTGGATTCCAAGTTTGGACGCTGCTCATGATCAGTTTGATTTCTGATTCTGTTGCGATTGGGCTTCTTTTATTTGTCTTGGATCCTTGTGGTAACGGAAAAAAGGAGGCCGAACCAACACTAGCAATAGATTTTGTCCTTTCTTGCTCCCCCGCATCTTTCAAGTTCCTTTTTTAATAGCAGTGCGCCATGCTACACAAACAGCTTTCCTCGGCCCTCTGCGCTCTTCTCATTTCCAACGCTCTTGCTCTCTAATTACTGAACGTGAGGTGCACTTCTGTGGTCCCCAATTTAAAACTCCTCCACCAACGCTTTGAAGAGGGAGGGGCCTTCAGCATGTGTGATTACACTTTTTGAATGAAGGTGTTGTCATCAAAACACACCATCACGTTCACCGTATCCATACGCGAGACTTAGGCATTTGTGAAAACTGATTTTACTCTTTCGGCAGCGTGACGCGAAGTCTCCATTATGGTCAACGACTGTGTAGTAAGAAGTATAAAACAGCTGAAGTATCAGCTCCTACGAAAACTAGTTATTTATAACATTTTAGTCTCTTTCTCAATGTCCAATTTCTGTTTTCATATTCTTTTTCTTTGTCGGCCCCTATCTTTTATTTCACAAAATAGCAGCTTCATTTTCGGTACGTATTTCTTATGGTATATGATTTATTTTGTTTTTTGTTGTGCGGTAACCTTAAACTAGTCGATTGCCTGCACTGGCGGAGAGGCAGAAGCCTCGGCTCGTCTCGGCTCCACCTCGGCCGACCTCAGCTGCCTCGGCTACACTTCGGCCGGCCTCGGCTCGCTGTGGCTTGACCTCGGTCGGCCTCGACAGCTGCACGGTTTGCGAATTTACCCGCAGACCGTGTAGTAGGGAGACATGGTCAAGGGTTAGTGTTAAGCGGGAGTCAACCGCTTTATGGCATCGGATCCTCGCTCCCTTCTCTGGGCGCTTTCGACGTTCTTGTTTTCCAAATAGTTGATGTAAAGCGCGTTTTTGCGGGTCCCCGAGGGGGAATCGAACCACTCCCCTTCACATCTGGACGCGACGTGCTATCCACTACACCGCTGACCCTAGTGCTTCATGTCAGCGTCATGAGGCCGCGTGAAATCTTAACCTCCAGCATGTATGATTACATGTTTTTTATATGGACGCGTTTGCAAAATGCACCCTCAAGTTCGCCGTATCCGTACGCGAGACTTAGACATTTATGGAAATTAATTTTCCATTTTCTTTCATGAACGAAGTTCCATTTCGAAATTGTTATGGATCAGAAGGGAATCGAACCACTCCCCTTCACATCTAGACGCGACGTGCTATCCACTACACTACCGGCCCTTGTGCTCCATGTTCAGCCTGGCAGCACATTTACTGTGTATCTGTTTTTCAAGGCAGAATATATCTTTCTTCTCAGCGTCTCTTAGGCAGTTCTATTCTTCGTGGTGGCTTCTTGGTCGGCTTTTCGCAGGTTTTGCGCGACTTTCAGATCATAAGGACTCCAGCGTAGTACAAACCAGTAACGAATAAAAGCAAAATCGAAAACTATATAATTCGCATAAGATTATGCATAAGTTATTTTTTTTTTTTTATACCTTCAAGATATTCAAGGTATACTGTTAACAGATTTGCCAATCAATTTTTCCTTAATATTTATTTCTCTTTCTTCTGTACCCCTTCTGTACTTCCGTTCTCATCTATTCTCATTGTCTTGCTTATTTAAATCTGCCATTTCTTACAGTGACAAGTAGGAGGCTGTATTGATGATTCCCATCCTTGCTCGCATCTGATGCTCTGTCTGTGTTTACAGCTAAGGGATAAAACACAGACTGTAAATTTACCTGATCCATTGAAATATGTAATTTTTTCGAGCAACCTTACTAGGTATATCAGAGACACGACATCGTCCATAAAAATCACCACCATTTATGAAGATATTTTTACAGTGGCAATTAACTGTTCCATCAGAATCATAGGTAAGACCGCAGGTTCCCTAGAGCCTGTGGTTCATTCTTCCGTACTTCTCTTATCCGCTTCTTGGTGCTTTGGCCCCAATCTTGCGCAGAATAGTCTGCTGCACAACGGTCACCGTGTTTACGGGGCCCGCGACGTGTGCACGAAACGATTGACTCCTTCATGCTTGGGTCGTGGTGTGCGTCAAGGTTGTGCAGCGTTTTCTGTTTTCACCGTAATAAACGATTTCATCGAGTAGCAAACAGCAGGTGCGTTTTCTGTTTTCATTGTAATAAACGATTTCATCAAATAACAAACAGCGGGTAACTGTCCAGGGCACGTGTGTCTCAACGATAATAGCTCTCAAAAATGACCAGTAGCGGGATGGAACTTTTAACTGGATTGGATATGCAGCGAGGTGAATCAGTTAATATTTTCCGTCCTTCTCTATTTTAGCATTAGCTTTCTGTTCTTTTGTATTTTAATACTACTTGTATTTTGCTTCAGGAATTGTATTTTTTCACTTCAGGAATTGTATTTTTTCTTTTTTTTTCTCTCAGTGTATAAATGTTCATTCTGTCAGTCTGGCGAAGTTACCGCTGAAATAGTCTCGCTGTTATAAAGGCAGTATTAAACCGGAAAGGGCATTTGGCTTCATTGCGCTGCGTTCTGTTCTGGTGTGATCAGTACCACCGATCTTTAATTGTTGGATGTTCTGAGTTCTTAATGTATGATTCTACTCGAATTTTTTTTTTTTAAATAAATTTTTTTGCTGGTAAAGACTGGGCCTAACAGCATGCTAGCAAGAAAAGAAAGGCTGGTTGTCATAGCAATAATGAGAGATAACAGATGGACAAAGTGAACTATGAAATAATAGAACAGAGGGACTGGACTTAAGTATCATGTATAAGAACACATTTTACGATGCGGTCTCTGTGTTTTATCCTTTAGATGTGTAAACACAGATCGAACTGTGAATAGCATCCAGGTAATTTTAAAGCAGGAAAGGCTGCTACTTCGGTGAAAGGATCCGCTTGAACTGCTGTATGGAATTATGTGGATGAGAGAGGCTTAAAATAGAGAAGAATGGAGAAGTTGCTATTTTCCCCAATAGCA